TTTGAAGGACGGGCGCCTCTGCCCGTTTGTATGATTTTATAAAGTCCGTACCAGATATGTACAGGATCTTATACACTCCGTACCGGATCTGTAGAGGATCCTATGCCGTCCATATTGAATATCTATAGGGTTTTGCACTGATCGTGCCCGATATGTATGGGATCCTATGCATACCGTGTTGGTTTTGTATAGGGTCCGATCGAGTCCATATCGGCTTTGGATAAGGTCCTCTAGAGTCCGCATTGGTGTGTGCATCCCATATCTGGATTCTGCGCACCCCATATCGGATTTGTATACGAGCCTATACAGTCCGTGTCGGCTCTGTACAGGATCCTACACAGCACGTGTCAGATCTGTATACGACCTATACAGTTCGTATCGGTTCTGTACAGGATCTTATACGGCCCGTGTCGGATCTGTGCAGGGTCCTATACAGCCCGCACCAACTCTGTATAGGATCTTGTAGGTTCCGCACCGACTGTGTATACGAGCCTATACAGTCCGTGTCGTGTTCGTAAAAGATTCGATCGGGTCGGGGTTGCTGGGCGGATGCCGGGTGACCCGCGCTCGCGCGGGGTACCCGCCGCGCGCGCCTGCTTTGTTCGTAGCGCATTGTCCCGTGTGGATGCCGACCGCGAGTGTATCGGTTGCGTGTGTGTGTGGGTGTGTGTGTGTGTCACGCCGTTTTCGGGGTGTCGCGCGTAGCTCCCTGTTGAGCTGACAGCGTCCGGTGCACGAGTAAGTGCTCATGTTGACGCCTGACGCCTGCGTTGTGTGGCATCGCAATCGAAACCGTCCCCTGCATTGTTTTCCCGTCAGAACTTCGAGGGATACAACATGAGTGTACGTGTTTGGTAGGTTTTCTTTACATTGTTGGACGTCGCGTTTGACGTCGGTGTTTACATGTTTTTTTTCTATTGGAGTTTTTTCGCGCGGCTGAAGGCGGCGGTCGTTCGCTAGTCACATCGCGCGGACTTGCGTATAAACGTCTGGTTGTGCGTAGGTTCCAGCGAGACTGGCGCTATAGCCCGTAGCCCCATAACCATGTATTGGGTTTGTCCGGCGATGTGCGCGCGTGTGCGGTTTTGCGCAGAGTTTTCCCTCATCCCTGCGCGGTGGCAGGAAACGTTGCAGGGGGTGCCGACATTGCCGCGCAGGCGGCCCCTTCCCCGCGACAGGAAACGCAGGAGTGGCGTGCCGAAGTGGGCGCGGGGTCGCTATTTGGACGCCTCCGCCGGGGCCGTCTGGAGCTCCCTGCGGGAAGAGGAACGGGATGAATTGCGTGCTGACAGAGTGTTGACTGCTGTTCGCCGTTCGCTGTTCCAATACATCCCAGATGTGCAAGGTTTCCTGCTGTTCCGCACCGGTTCCAAAAGCCGAGGGCCGCTAGATACGTATTTAGGAAAGCTTGGGACGCATCCTGAGCCAATCCAGTCAAGGCATCATTATCATCCTGAGGTTTCCTGCTCGCCCTCAGGCCTCAGACCGACAGGCCGTCACCTTCAGACACAAGGCCTCTTCATCTCCAGATCCTCAGACCTCACGCCGCGGCGTCAGGCCCCCAGGCCCCGGGCCTGCCGCTCCCCAGACCCTCGGGCGTCGCGAAAAAGCAGGACCTGCGTTCGTTGATAGATGTCGGACAATCGACAAACACCCGCGGCGACAAAAAATGGCCCCGCGGATGGGGTCTGGGGCTCCAGGCCCACTGCAAGGACAAAGTCGAACGTCGGAGGTCTGGGTGCAGACTGGGGCCGCCAACTCTACACTCGCACCGGTCGTGGTCATGCCAGTCCTGGGCCTGGGATCTGCGTATATGCCTTCCTTTGGGGCGGAGGTCGGCGCTAGAGGGGGTCAGCCAATCCCCTCTGGCTGACCCAGGTTTGGGAACCACGTGTGGCCGTCTCATACTTTCCGCCGACCCGGGCTTGGGAGCTGCTAGGCGGCCGGCCGGGGTTCGCAACATAGTCTGGGGCCCTGGCCGACCCGCGTTTGGGTTGACCTGGGTTAGTGTGTCCCCGATTCTCGGCCAGGCCAGGAGGGTGTATCCCGGGTCCTAGGTGTAATTCTTGACGCTTTGCGTACCCCAACCAGACTGGACTCGCCGCTGGCGCGCTCGCCTGCGGCCGCTGACCAAAAAAGTACCCCAACCTCGGCGCACAGGAACCCGACACCAACACCAAGAAGCCACTGGAAAAGAACACATTGCAACCTCTGTTGCATGCCGTCGCCCGTGTCTTCGGGCTCGCGTGTCCCGCGCTGATGAATGCCAGCTCTGAGCGCGTGGGAACATGGGCCGTCTCCAATTCCCCAAGTGAGCGTTGGGATTTCCATGGGCCGCGCGAGGCCCGCGGGCCGTGCGAACCCAGCCAGCCCCATGAACCCCACAAGTCCCACCAAGGGCTTCATGGGCCGAACGTGCGCCGCAGCGCGCATAAGCCCAACGCGCCGCGCTGGCCCAGCATGCCGCGCGGGCACCATGGGCTCCCTGACTCGTCAGGGCCACATCTGGTTCCTGAGCCTTGGAAGCCCCGCGGGCCATGGAAGCCCCGTGGGCCTCAGGGACGCCATGAGCTGCATGGGACGTTCTTCTATCATGGAAGCACCATGGCTTGCAAAGTCGGAGAGCAATGCGAGCCATCTCAAGCTTTCTTGGCTTCGTTGGGTCGCTCAGCCCCCACAGGGAAAGCGCTCCGAACTTTTTCAGTGGCGTCTCGGTGCTGGTGCCGGCTTCTGGTTCCCAGCAACATCAAAAAACCGACACCACCACCAAGACCCCCACTGGAACGGCGGCCCCATGTGCGAGCTGAACTTCTCGACGATTTCGGAAGGTCGCCACGGGCTGCGGGCTTGGGTCTAGAGGGGGCCACGGTCTTATGCCCAGGACGCGAAGGGCGGCCACCGCCCTCTTTCGCGGAGAGCGGTGGATTCGAACTCGTCGGGCTTTGGTGTCGGGCCAGACGAGGGTCAGGGATGCGACGCGGGCGGACATAGGGTGGTTGAAGGGTGGGGGGAATGAGAGGGGGGCGGGCGGGCGGGGGGAGGCGTGGTGGAGGGCGGCGGTGGGGGGAGTGAAGCTTCAGCCATGGGGGATGCCGCAGCCTTCCCTCTTCTCTCCCTCCTCTGCCGAGGGCGCCTGCTAGTTTCGTTTCTCGCTTGCACTTGTTCTTTCCTGCTTTCCCTCTTGCGTGCTGCGCGACGTCTCCCTTCCCCCGTCCTCCTCGCCCACTCTGCGATTCCTCAGGCCAGGGCGGGCTCGCGCTGGTCCAAAACGCAATTCGACACTTCGTGAAACAACTACTTTCTTGGTGCTGGTGTCGGCTTTTTGTTCTCCCACAACCAGACCATCCAGAAACGATGCCCAGAGAAGCTGCCTCGAGGAGGGACGTAGGTAACAGCATGTAGTGAAGTAGGGACGCAAACAATTGTGAAGTAGCCTTTTGGACCCTCTTGGGCCCCCCATCTTGGGCCCCCCTTGGGGCTCTCCCGGGGCCAATTTTGTGGCCGTGGAGGGACCCTTTGGGCCATTTTGGAGGCCATCGATCAAAGATGGGGGTGGACGACCTGCGCCCAGAGGGCTGGTGTAGTTATAGCTGGCGCCTTCCTATTCCCCTCCGAAGGCCCCCTGGTGGATCCCCCCTCTGATTGCCAGCAGGTGCTGGGCATCGAGGCCCGCGGCGCCCGCGGGACCACGCGTGCTGCTTCCGCGTCCTTCCGCGTCCCCCTCCTCCGCCCTCTTTCTCATCCTCCTGTTCCGTGTTCTTTGATCTATGGTGTGTTCCAGATTGGGCGACGCCTTCGAGGACCGAGAAGATTGCATCTCTTCCTCGGCGGAAACTGGCGGAAGGCCAGCGGAAGCCGGCGGAAGTAAACAAGGCCGCCTCCGCCGGCGCAAGGCGGCGGAAGGCCAGCGGAAGCATCACACGCTTTCTCAAGACGTGCGTTTTTTGTGCATCCAGGATGTCCAGGACCTGGGGCGAAAGCATCCATGCACCACCACCGTGCCTGGCTGGGGCCATTGTGGGCGGGCGTATGCACCATGCCAGGATGAGTGGCCCTGGCCAGGCAAGGTGGTGGTGCGTGGGCGCCTTCTGCGCATCGTGTTCCGCCCGTCAATCGATCCCCAGACCTGTCCCAGGGTGCGTCTTGACCAGAACTCTCATGCAGATCCAGCCGTGGCGACGAGGACGCTCCAGGAGGACCACCCCGGGGGGACCCGCCTGGGTCCAGCGAAACCGACCAGGGCTAGCGAAACCGACAGGGTCTAGCACAACTGCCCGCCCGGGTCCCGCGAAACCGACCGGGTCTAACGAAGCCGACTGTCCGGGTCCCGCGAAAGTGCCTTGGTCTGTCGATACCGGCCTTCCTAGCTTTTTGCACGGGCGGCTATTTTCAACCGAGATCTGGTTTCGCCTGGCCAGTTAAGATTCGTTCGGACGCCTTTTTGCCTGCCGCCGACGACGGTTATGGCGACGGCGACGAGGACCACGTCGACGGCGATGACGACGGCATGCCACGACGGCGACGGAGACGACGGCGATGACGACAGCGACCGTGGCCACGAGGAGGGTGCCCCTGAGACCTCCAAACAAACGCCCAAACATTTATTTCTACCCTCGAACCTCGACTCCCGATCGACGGCGACGACGACGACGACGGCGATGCTGTCGACGACGACAACAAGTGCGATGGTGACGGCGGCGACGACGCTGATATTGCCGATGATGAAGACGACTGCGACGACGCCAAAAAAGACGATGTTGTCGCCGACGACTGGGACGGCGGCGACGTCGACGGCGGGGCCGTGACGGCGGCGACGACGAGGACGATATTGTCGACGACGACGACGATGACGACAACGACCTTGTCGACGATGACGACGACGGCGACGGCAGGGACGACGGCGACGGCGACGACGATACTGTCGACGACGACGACGACGACGACGACGACGACGACCGCGGAGACGACGGCGACGGCGACGGCGGGTGCGACGACGACAGCTGGAGGCCGCCGTCTGGGAGCAGCTGGCGGTCGTGGCCGCGGCGCTGCAGGAGCCCCCCCCCGCTGCGGCACACCTGCACCCCCCTCGCCCGCTGCCTTCCTCTCGGCCTCCCATGGCGCATTAGACTAAGGAGGAGGAGAAGGAGGATCGAAGAACCAAAAACAGCATAAACATAATCTCTTTTTGAGGTCCTCGCGGGTTCCTTGGATCGGCGTTGGGCCCCTCTGGCGGCGCCTCTGGCACCGCCCTTTGTGCGCTCCGCGCGCCATCGAGGGGGATCCAGCGCCGATCCAAGAAATCAGCGCGGACCTCAGCGACATGTTTGTTGATGCGGTGGTTGGTCCTCCAGAGAAGGATCCTGCATGAGGTAAGAGCTCACCGTGCCGCCCCATCCTTGAGACAAGGATGAAGAGGATGAAAGGGAGGAATGGAGGGAGCAGGAGGAGGAGGAGGAGGAAGAATAGAGCCAGAGTAAACACAGGATGCATCAACGATGTTGCAAAGCACCTTCCCGTCCCAAGTCCCCGCCTCATGAGTCCCTACAAACGTTCCTTCTCACGGCGCGGAGCGCCCCCCTTGAAAGACGAACGCCCCATTGGCCCGCAAGTCGGGCGGGAGCTTCGTCTTGTGGGGCTCAAAAGTCCCAGGAAGTACCAAGCGACAGCCCCGCTTTGGAAAGGAACTGCGCTGCACCCGCGAAGCCGCTGCATATTGCGAAGGCCTTACGGCCGGTGCCGCCGACCCTGAAGACGACGAAGATGAAATCGAGGGGGGGGGAGGAAGAAGTGGAGGAGTGGGAGGAGGAGAAAGGGTGGAGGAGGCGGATGAGGGAGGAGGAGGGGGGGGATGGGGCTCGGGATCGCGCAAGGGGGAGACGTATGCGGGCGACCTCCTTCGGGGACCCTCCCCCGGGCCCTCTCCGGACCCCTCTCCTCGCGGGGAAGGGATTGAAGGGAAAGGGGCTTCCAGTCGTCTCCACTAACGATGTTGTTTATTTTCGCTTTAGATAGCACGCTCGAGGAGTAGGGCTCAGGGCAAAGACAGGGGGGACGACGGAGTCGGCGACGAGACGACTGTGATGACGACGGAGACGACGAGGAGACGACAGAGACGACGACCCGACCAGAGAAGCCCTCACACACGCCGACGGGGTCGGTGTCACAGGAATCTGTCGGTCCTACCCGCCAGTGTGCTTTGGTCGGGAGTGCCGCGGCATGAGGAGGGGGAATGGAGGGATGAAGGGGGCGGGGAGAGGGATGGGGGCGGATGAGGATAAGGAGGAGGAGGAGGAGAAGGAGAAAGAGGAGCGGTAGGAGGAGGAGCGGTAGGAGGAGGAGGAGGAGGAGGAGGAGGAGGAGAAGGAGGAGGATGAGGAGGAGAATGAGGAGGAGGAGGAGGAGGAGGAGGAGGAAGGGGAGGACCGCAGGACGTCGACGACGAAAAGGAGGAGGAGGAGGAGGAGGAGCAGGAGGAGGAGGAGGAAGAGGAGGAGGAGTAGGAGATGGATCAGGAGGAGGACGAGGACGACGACGAGACATTTCGGAATTCTGCTGGGTATGTTGTAGGGCTTTTTGGGGGACCTGTTAAAGGCCTTGGTGGGTTATTTGGGGGGGCTGTTGCGATCTCTCTGTGGCTTCTTGGAGCATTTGTGGGGCTTTCTGGAGGCCTTTTGCGGGCATATGAAGGAAGGAGGAGGATGAAGAGAAGGAGGAGGAGGAGGAGGTGGAGGAGGCGGATAAGGATTTTTCAGGAGGAGGAGAAGGAGGGAGAGGAGGAGGAGGAAAAGGAGGAGGGCCCTCTTGGAGCCATCTTCGATGCGTCTCCAGGCCCTTTTGGGCCGGGTCCGGCTGGTTTGGTGGTCTTCTCTGGCCGTCCTGGCTTTCAGACACCCGTAAAGGCGAGAGCGCGGGGAGGAGTAGGACGAGGAAGAGAGGAGGAGAAGGATAATCATGACGAAGAGGAGGGGGAGGAGGACGGGGGACGGAGGAGGAGGAGGAGGAGGAGGAGGAGGAGGAGGA